CCGCGCCGAACAAATCTTTGAGTGGCGCCATTGCCGCTTGAAAATCAGGGAGCTGCTCACCCACAAGGTGCTCGACTTGCTGGATGACTTGCGCGACGAGCCCTTGCCATTCTGCACCGGCATCGGGTTCCCTGTAGCCGCGCTGAGGGGCCATGCTGACCCTGCGACTGGGGCCCCACTGCGATGGCAAAGGTGGCCACCAATCGGCAAAATAATCAAAGGGCTCCTGACGTCCAGGGGCTGGTGATCTCCTGCGCTGCTGCCATTGGCCCTGGCCCACAAAGGGCTTTCCACAGTAGCAGTGGGGCTTACTGTGGAGCCGGTCAGCCCAGAGCCAAGCGCCGCAGTCACGGCACACCACGTAAGAACGCCTTTGACCAACCATTGCATCTACAGGACTTCTTGCTGCTAAGCTCACCGCTCGAACCGCAACGTCTTGGGTATGGGACAGAGACTGTGTGCAATGTCAGATAAACCACACCATTGCGGGACTCCTTCTTCCGGAGAGCCTGCATCAGGACAGGGAGCACCGCGTGTCGAAGCTTGATACCCTAAGCTTCAGGTCTGTCAGACAGGTCAGACCTTGACTGCCGCAAATTCGTTGTAGTGCTTTGCTCGCCTTGCCTCAACAACACTTGGGAAGCCAGACAAGAAGGCGTTTCAAGATCATTGGGATCCTTGAATTCAGATGTCGAGGCTTTTTGCTGGCCTTCGTCCTGCCACAACACGAAACAAGAAGAGTTGGTGCTGTCCGTGCTGCGGCATCCTCTGGGAGGCGAATCTTGCTTGGGACACTTTTGGTCCCGGGCCTCCCAAGGAATTTCAGTGCCAACAAGAACTGTGCCATGCGCTGCCATGCTCTGCCTGGATGCCTCGCCTTCCCTGGTCGTCACCTTCCGTCCGCGTTCTCTACAGAGCTCAGGCGGGGTGGTTGCTGGCAGGGGTGAGTGCATATTGTGTGCGCGCCTCGCCCTCCGCACTCTGAGACGAGTCGCGCCTCTCGATCACCGGCGGTCTCGAAGAGTCAAAGCTGGAACAAAAACCACTCTTTGGCACCTCTCGCCGCTCTCAACCCACTGGTTAAGGCGATTGGCCAGCGCAGCCTGGCGAAGGCAAGAAATTCTAAACGCCTCCGGCACCACATGGGCTCTCCGCGTGCCATCGAAGTTGGCGACGTGGCGATCCTTTCGGGTCGACAAGGCGGCGAAGGCAAGTAAGCATCGACAGCCGACATGTCTCCTCGTCTCATCGTCCTCAGAAATCTCCGGATTCTTATTATAGTTTCGCTTTTCTCCCTGGGACGATTCACTGCAGCAAAGCTGCGACGAGCTCTTCATGTCGTTTGGAGGAGGAGGTCGACGTCGAAGGTGCCTCAAGACACTCCCGATCTTTCGCACTGAGTCGATTGCATTTCTCTCGCACCCGAAATGATAGAAGTCGTCTGCAAACGCAAGGCCCCCACGAAAGCCTCCTCCTCCTCAGAGCAATTTCAACAGGGGTGAACCCCTTCGAAAAGTGCGTTCTGAAGAGTGCCGCTCAGTCCCAGGCTTCACTCGAAGATTCAGGGCTGCGAATGAAAGGAGTGTCAGGCCTGATACATGGACCCATGTCCGACTGCAGGTCTCTCGATTATCTGCTGTCTTTGGCTCCTTTCTTCTGTCCGTGGCCGGACATGTTGCTTTAACAACTTTCACATGTAATTATTCATGCAATCATATCCATGCTCATATTTTCTACATGTGAACATGTACACATTTAGAGAGGGACATACTTACATGCATGCATTCATACGTTTACTTATGTACGTACATACATATATACATACATAAAAAACATCCATACATACATACATACATACATACATACATAGACCTACGTACATACTACATACATACAGACATGCGGAGGGAACACGATCGCGGAGGAGGCTCCAGGCTCCGGCGAACGCAAGGCGCGGGAACAGGATGGTGCACACTGCTCAAAGGCACAGGCTCGTCGATCTTTTGACGAGTACCACGCTCCTTCCCGGATCAAACAATCCGACCTGCTTTGTCAAGTCTGTCCGACCTTGTCGTGCTCCGCGATGCACTGCTCATCCCAGTGCACGTGAGCATTGTCTCTCTGCGGCCTGGTGAAGCTGGGCAAGGGCCCAAAAGGCCGAGGGTCGGCTAAAACGGCAAAAGCCACTGCGCCTCTCGCGTCGGTCCTTGTACAGCAGTCCACGAACGGCCGGAGCTCTCTGCTGGCTTGCGTCCAGAAACGCAAGGTCGTGGGCCGCAGGTGTGTACCCGGTCAGCGCGTCATGGCTCGCACAAGCTGAAGCCATGAAAGAAAAAAATTGGTGTGAGACATTTCCCCTCGAGCGAAAAAAATTCTGAGCCGCCAAAACGAAACAGCATGCAAGATGAATTGCGGAGGAACACTGCTCGAATGATGCACAGTGCTCTGATCAACTACACGGACAGTTTTCCGCTTGCTTTTGCAAGTATATGCCAAGCACGTCTCACGACAAGGCAATGACACCACCTCACGACTCAGCCGTCGTGGCTGGCACGCTAGATTCGTTGCCGGAAGGTCCCAGTTCATCCTGAAGGCCTCATGGCGACTTGATCGTTTTGAAACTTTGGAGTCTGCACAATCGGAATCTATCGACAACTTGAGTGCGACGCTATTCAGAGGTTCCATGCGCTCTTTCTCATCGGCCTGCGAAAGAGCACCTTCCCGCAGCCAGACTGTGCCAGCCAGTTACGCCTCCAACTTTGTGACGATCTTCGATTGAAGCTCCGTCACCTGCACCAAGGCATGGCTTCGGCGTCGGCGTTGCGAATTCGAAAAGCTCGGCCTGGCTGGAAATTCGTCGCAGCGGCTCGCGCAAGCCAGTAAGCGATGTCTGGTAAGTGCCTGGTCTCTGAATGGGAAAGAGCTGGGGCCGGGGGCGGCTCAGAGCCGCCTGCCTAAGCCGAGTCTAAGCCGCCTGTGGGGCCTCTCAAACTCTCAGCTGAGCGTTGGACCCATCACATCCACGAACTTAGCGGCTCGTTGCTCACCCTGAAAGAAGAATCGAACGCCAAGGCAAAAGCCAAAGTGAGGTTTTTCGGGGAGCCATGTCAACTTGCGGTGTGCCTTGTCTGCAACCTCCTTGTACTGCTTCATGACGCGGTCCATGTCGTTGTGAGACTTGGAAAGCTCCTGAGAGGCCCTGCTTCTACGGTCGTGGCAGAGTCAGATATCTCCTGCCTCGAAGGAGACATGCAATTGAGCCTGTGGCAGGGCTAAGGTTTCTGAATGTCTTGGATGCTCCTTAGATGCACCTGATGCTCCTTGCTTTCCTTGCTGGATTCCTTCGCTTTGTCCTAACATGGCAAGTTTGCTTCAGGAAGCCAGGGCCTTTCATGCGATGTGTCCTCTGGCTTCCCAGGGGCCTTTGCTGCAAACACAGTGCAATCACGTAAGACGATACGATACGGGGGGGGTTCCTATGGAACCGAGGCCCGAGCTTCGGTAGTATCAGTTTAAGCTGAGCGGCTGGGCTGTCTTTCGCAGGGCTCTCAGTCTTCGATTCGTCCCCGGTCGGATCCCGAGCCAGAATCTCCGCGTTCTCTGCCTCCTTCTCCCCACTTTCAGAGATCTGTTTTTCCCCATCGGCCTGATCATGAGCCACTCTCTACACAATCGCACCTTATGTTGGCATGCAAGACTCGCTGGGCTTCTGGTCTTAAGGGAGAAAAGCCGGAAAACGTCGTCAGGTCATGCAGGATCTAGGGCTCCGTTTTGGGCTTGGCGCTATCCACCTGGGCGGGTTTCCCTGTGCCTGCGTGCCACTGCCTATCTGGATCTTGGAGGCAGCTGCGGTCTCCAAGTCCCCGTTCTGGGCAGAACCATTTCCCACTGCAACCCGCACGAAAACGCGATAGAATCACAAGAGCCTTCAAAGCATCACTGATCCTCTGCAACTCAGCCTGCGAATTGCTGACTGCACAGAATCCTCTTTGCCGACACATGAGCAGCCTTGTCGATGACAATGGGGCCTAAGCAGTGCGGAGCAGGCTGCAAGCCATGGTTCTCGGCTCGCAAGCTCAGGGCTCAGGGACCCTAGCCGTCGTCGTTTCGACGCCCCTTGACGAACTCTCGCTCAGGTCGCACTGCCTTTTCGAAATGCTCGGGTTTTAGGTGGCCTTCAAGGCTCTGATTGCAAGCCTCGACATTCTTGCAGGCCAGCATCCATACTGCAACGATGCAGGGCCTGACATGGAGCGTCTGCACAGGCGGACTCGAACAAGGTTGGAACACCTCCACATGTTCCCAAGTCCGCCAGAATGATGGTGAAAGAGTATTGCAGCTGGACTTCAGAGTGCAGAGTTGAAACCTGCATTTCGTAAGTGTTTTGCTGTCTTCACTGTTCGAAGCACAGCATCTGTGGTTCGCAAACAACTCCTGAGAGCCGGGTGTGGCGAGCAAGCCAGGAAGGATGTCAGAAACGTTCCGCGAATTACAACCAGCGCCAAATGCAAGGGCGAGTGCCGTGGCACTTTTCGAGATCACACTATGCCAGTTCACATCAAGCTTCTTCGCTGTACACATGCATCTTCAAATCGCAACCGGGTTTCGCACTCTTCCTCAAACGATCGAACAACAAGACCGGAAGCCTCACTGGCCTGTGGATATCGCCCGGTGGCCGCCGCTGAGGATCGAGACGCAAGGACGTGTAATTATGTAAAACGTTAAGCCGCTGCAAGGTGGAAAGTAGTAGTGCCAGGCAGGATCCACAGTCAAATGCTTCGGTTTTGCTGGAGCGCACTCGGATAATTCTGTCTGTACAAGTCGCACTATACCTAGGAAGATTCGTGCCACCACAGGAGTTGCCCCTGGAGGCCCTGGATTGGAAGCACCAGCTACGGCCTTGGCTGCATAAGGTAGAACCACCTAAGAACCGAGCAACTCAGAATTACTTAGCAGGCTCACATCTTCCGCCACTATTGATCTGAGGCCAGCAGCAGATCTCAGGCTGTCTTGGAACGATTCCGCGTCACGGCTTCCAGCCATGGGTTCCGCAAACACTGGGCGCGAAAGGCTCTGGCACGAAAGACTCGTAAAACGATAGTCGCCGAAAGCTGGCGCCTCGTCCGGTGTGCTTCGTTGCACGGGGTCCACGCGCAGCATCGCTGCCAACAGCGTGGCCTCTGTCGGGTATGTTCAGGCAAGCAGAAGAAGCGTATCTTTCAGCATGGGCTCCTTTCCCTCTCTGCCTCCTCGCTCTTGCCTGGAGGGCCGCGCGTTCCACCTTTCCATTGTTGGAGCAAGTTGGCCACCTGATCTTTCTGCACACTTCTTGCCAACAGCCCGAAACTTCAAGAAGAGAGCATCCAGGAGCCACGCGCCATGCCGACGAATGAAGGAGAACGAGGGATCCGAGTCGAGTGCTGTTGCCCAAGGTGGCTGCACAGGGAATCGCGAGAAGAGGAATATTGAGCGTTGTTCTTACCTTCCTGTTCAAGATACGGCAACTGTTCCTGCCTGCCTTGCTCCTTCCCTCCTTCCCTCCTTACTTCCGTCCTTCCTTCCGTGCTTTTTGTCTTTTTGTCACTGTGGCTCTGTCTCCGTCTCGACGTGTCTCTCGCTCTTGCTTGCGTGCTTCCAGCCAGCCCTGAGGAACCCCCCCCGTATAGGGTGAGCTCTGATTTGGAATGGATGGGCTCGGTCTTTACAAGGGAATCTGGTGCCCCTGGTTTGCAGGGGGGGGTGCTGGGTCCCCCTTTTTCAAAAAAATAATGGTGCAGCACAGGTCAAAGGACTGGTCGGGTTCCCCATGTCACTCCTGGTCGGTGGCACCCGAGCTGTTGTACAGCAACAAGGCTGTAGGTAACAGACATAAGACAGTGAGGTTCAAGCTTTTGTCGGGTGCCACGCTTTCGGGTGCCCTGCCTTTTACCTAAGCCCACCTTGTCACCCCTGCCTCACACCGAACGGAAACCTGATCCCCGCAGCAGCAGTGCCTGTGATCTTCCGCTCAACCCTGAAGCCTTATACGCAAGTACTCCCATCTTCCCTCTCTGAAGCAGACAGCAGGTTTTTCTTGGAGGGCAGATGGGGTAAAGATCTACACAGAGAGGCAGCCGTACAAAATGTGGGCCAACAGGGGCAGGAGTAGGTTACTTGGACGAGTGCTCCCATCTTTGCTCGCCCGTCTCTCGGTCGGCTAGTACTGTCACTGAAGCCCGACCTACCTGCGTAACCCTACCTGACACCGAACTGAAGCCTGATCCCCCACTGTACCTGCGACCCTGAAACGTCTCTTTCTCTCTCTCTCTCTTCCTTTGCTTCCTTCTGCGGGAGATAGGTCTGCTCTCCCTCTCTCTCTGTCAGGCATGTGCGCATGCCCCCGCGCACGTGTGCGCACCGGTCTTGTCGTTGGTGTGACACACCGCCGGTTGGAACGAGGCTCTGGCTTGCACCGTCGCAACCCCCACCCTGAACACTAGTTAGAACTTGAAACCGCTAGGCCTCGTCTTGTTCCGGACTGCAATCTACTGCCCCGCAGCTAGGTGCGGCACTAGGGCATTCGCCCTCGTTGTGGCACGGCCCCCTTTTCACACTGAAACACGTTCCCCGAGCACTGCTCAACACAGGTACAAAGTACATATGCTCATGCATAACGCCGCAGATTACTGGGGCCCCGGCCAAGCAGCTACTCTGTGTGTTCCGTTGCTAGTTCTGTCCCTTTACCAGACACCCTGCATCCTACAGCTATGCTCTGCAAGGTCCCCCTACTACAAGGCAACCTAGCAACTGCAGCAGCCTGGTTTGCAAACCGTTTGGCTTGTTCCCCCGGCACCTGTCACAACGGGAGGCACTCATATAGTACATGCCGCTCAGTTCAGGCTTGTCGACGGCGTTTCAGCGGCGGTCTTTCAGAAGTTGCTTTCGGTGGTGGCGTCGCCCCCGCTGGAAAGTGACGCTCTCTACTTCCTTGGCCTTGTGTTGTACTCCCCCGGCCTCGTGTAGTCATATCGGCTTGCTGGGCTACACGAAACACATTGGACGCCAGGCTACCTCGAGGGAGTGCAGTGGAATCCCCCGATGCTCTCTCTCTCTCTCTCTCGCTCTTTCTTTCTTCCTGCGGGCCTGTGAAGGGGTTTAAGGTCTCTCTCGATCTCTCCCTCCCTCCTCTCCGGGCATATGGACCGGATCAAGGTCCCCGGGCATTTAGCCTCTCTCTCTCTCTCTCTTTCTTTCTCAATCTCTTTCTTTCGCCAGGGCTGTGGTGTAGGGGTTACCCCCTACACCGCGCGCGTCAGCGCCCCCGACTGGTGCGGGACGCACATGTTACACTCTGCCAACGACTCTGGGAGTTCGAGTTTCGAAGCTTCCCTAGGCGACTGGAATACACCCGATGAATTGCGACTGCATGCCACAAGATGCCATAAGAGGGAAGTGCAGGCTTTATCCTCGTCGGTGTATTCAGGATCGTCACCTGTGCAAGGGGGTGTTCCCCTCGTTGTTTGTCTTGGCAGTGTTGACTCGAAATGGTTTACACTGCTTTGGCGTGCTAGGCTATATGGCAGGCAGACAAGTGGCGGGCTAGCACGCCCGTATTTGCAGTGGAGTTTGTCTTCGAAAGAATGCGCAATCGAAGAGGCAACTGGCGGCCCCCCCTTTCTCAATCTCTCTCTCTCTCTCTCTCCCTCTTTGCTTTGCTCTGGGGCATGAGCCAAGGGCAGTCCCCTTGACTCGCGCTTCAGCGCAACCCCATCCTCCCTCTCTCTCTCTCTCTCTCCCTCTTGCGTGCGGACAAGGAGGGCAGCACCTCACGCGCACAGTGCCTTTCTTTCTGCTGGGCTTAGGGGTCACGTCACAATGTCTCTCGCTTCTTCTGCAGGGCATGATGGGCGTTCGAAACGAAGGTATGTATATTTAACACTGTTATGTAGCCTACAGTAGTATTTCCAAGGTTCACAAACCGTTGACATGGCTTTCACTTGACTGGGGTACTTCGGTCTTTTTGCAAATTCTCTCCCTCTCTCTCCCGCTCTCTCTCTCTCTCTCTCTCTCTGTCTCTGTGTTTCTCTTGCTTGCACACAGCCAAAGCACAGCACGAGACTGTGCCCGCGCGTGTCCGCGCACTGGTTTTTTTTTAGGAGTGCCAAGCGCTGCCGACTGTCTTTCTGTACAACTGGAAAATATGCGAAGCGCGCGTAGGCGCAGTACTCAAGCGATCGCCGAAGAGCTTGTTTTTCTGAAGCATTTGTTTGAAGCCTAAGAAATCCCTTCTATGGTCCTTATATTGGGCGGAGTGGTCTAGGTAGTGGTTCAAGTATTCTAACGCATGTGAAGAAACTAGTTCGAACCAGTACCTTGCGGGATGGCCTCTGTGCCTTGATTTAGTAAAATTAATGCGATCTTTGTATCCGGGGGAGAATACTACATGATGTTGGGGGAGGTGTGGCGGAGTAGTCGTGGCTTGTATAAGGAGCTTGAACTGTTGCGATAGAAGGGTTTGGGAAGTGATGGGATGTTTTCCTGAATTTTCCCATACGGTTTTGTTGGGGATCCGGGAGTAGTATGAGGCTTTGATGTTGATGGCTCTTCTGAGGTATCTAAAATACCAACCGTCTATGGTTCGGAAGTGGTGTTTTTCAAGGGTGAGAGTTTCCAAGGCGTACGTATATACTGGGACGATGCAGGCGTGGAAGATTCTGGATTTTACTGGGCGGGGTAGTCTGCTCTGCCATACATGTTGGAGCTTTAGGAAGGCCGCGTGTGCTTTAATAGACCTAGCTGCGATTGCGGCTTTGGTTGGCTTGTCCCAAGTAACCTGTGATCCTAAATACTTGGTTTCGGAATTTAAGGGGACAGGTGAGTTATCTGCGTAATGAAGTTGACCTGGTTGAGTGGGGTGGCGGAGTAGTTCGGTTTTCTCTAAGTTTAGCTGCAGTCCGTAAAGGGTAGCTTCTACCTGGACAGCTTTCAGAATCTCCTCTAATTGTGCGCCCGTGACGCCCATTAGTAGAGTATCGTCCGCATACTCTAGATCGTAAATGGGCTTTCCTACCGACCATGTGTTTTGTGGAACGCCATGGGTTCGAAGTCTAGCGTCAACGTCTGAAAGGAGTACTGTCATTACCATGATGAATAAATAGGGGCTAAGTGGGCATCCCTGCCGAATCCCTGTGTGCGGAGTACCCCAGTGCTTTGTACCATCAGGAGCAGAGGTACAAAAGGTAGGGCAGGTGTACATATCCTTAATGACTTCGAGGTAAACGGGGTGAACCCCAAGGCGGAGTAGTGCTATATGCATAGATTCATGGTCGATCTTGTCAAAGGCTTGCTTCCAATCTAAAAACAGCAACTGAAATGGTTGGCCTGTTTTGGCGGAGTAGTCTTGGAGGCGGCGCAGGATGAAAAGTGGTTGCGTTGTTCCTTTGTTTCTGCGGAAGCCGAACTGCGTGTGGCGGAGTGAGTGGTCATGCTCCTCAGCTAGTCTTTTCTGAAGCATTGCTGCGTAAATTTTATAAAAGACGTTAAGGAGGCTGATAGGGCGATATGAGGCAGGGTCTGAGGTGGGGCCTTTACCTTTGTATATGCTGACTACAAGGGCCTCTTTCCATGCTGCGGGTATTCTACCCTGACGTAAGCAGGCGTTGTAAAGGCGGAGTAGCTGTTTTTCCCCAAAGTGATCTAGCAGTTTGATGGAGTCGGCTCTGAGGGTATCTAACCCTGGAGCTCTGCTTTTGCGCAGCTGCTGGATAGCTTCGGTTAATTCTTCATGTGTGAATGAGCAGGGCGGAGTGGTAGGGGGAGGTTTGATCTGCGGAGATTCAGCGAGAAGTGTTCTTTCTTCTGCGGTGACCGTAGTTTTTCCCCATTGTTGTTGGTCGAGGTGGTCCCGAAAGGTTTGGTGGGTTTTGTGCCACGGTACTGGTTTGCCATTGTGTTTGAGCCTGGTGTGTCTGGGCTGGAATCCTTTTTTGAGGCGTCGAGCCTTGGTCCAGACTGCTGTGTGGCTGAGGTTAGTATCCTCTAGAAAAGAGTCTCTGAGCCAGTCCCTTTTGAGTTTGCGTGCTTTGCGTTTAAGGGCTTTGTAAAAAGCGATATGTTCGGGGTCCAGGTTGGCGCGCAGTTGTTTGGCCTTGGCTATGTCGGCTGCTAGTTGAGGAGTAATCCAGGGCTGTTTGGGGAGATGTTCGAGAAGGGGGAGGGTGGAGCGTTCGGCGGCTTGTAGGGAACTGATTAGGTGGGCTGAAAGCTCATCGGTTGATTGCGCTAGCGCTGGCGGAGTGGTGAGGTTGAGGTTGCTGGGGTGTGCGAAATGAGGGAGCGAGGATCGCCCTCCTGTCGGGCGTGATGCGGTCTTGCCGTTTTCTGCGAGTTCGTCCGCGCGTTCATTGTATTCGTTGCCGCTGTGACCCTTGATCCAATGCCAATGTACGGAGTGTTTGGTTTCTAAAGTTGTGCAGATGTCCTTTGCTATTTTAACCATTGTTTTGTGACGCTGACCGCGCATCATATCTGCTGCCCATTTGCTGTCATAGTGAAACGTTATAGTTTGTGGCGGAGTAGTCAAAGAAAGAATGTGCAAAGCCGCTTCCATTAAAGCACTTAATTCACCTGTGTTGTTGCTGCCGACGACTGCTCCTAAATAGTATACTGAGCGCGTGTCCGTGGTGACCGGACCGTGTGATGTGGCTATTTCCTCGTCGTCTTCTATGACAGCGTAACCCCAACCTGCGGGAGTAGTAGCCGAACACCTGCCGGAGGAACCCGAGCCATCTGTGTAAATTTCCCAATGGGAAGAAGAAGTGGCGGAGTAGTCTGGGGAAGGGTGGCCCATAGCTACACGGAAGCTTTGGTTGAAATGTTTGCGTTGTTGTGGGGTGACTGCGGAGTAGTCTCGCTTAGGGGGCAGGAGGACTGGAGGCGGGCGGGCGGAAAGCTTAACCCGTATGGTGGATTCTAGAAGGTAATGATCACTGGGAAACCCTGATTTATGGAAGGCTTGGCAGGATAATACTGTGGGTAGCCACTTCTGTCTAGTGACCATTCTGTCTAGGGATTGAAATCTCAAGGGGTCGACCTGTGGGCGGAGTAGCTGTGCCGGTATAGGCCATGAATCCGTAATGTAGTCTCTGATGTTGGCTGCGAGACAGAGATTGTCTGGATCTGCTTGAGGGAGACTATATATTTTATCCCAGAACTGGGTCCATCCTATGGGGTCGCTAGCAAATTGGAGCCAATCTGTTGGGGGCGGGTGCTTATCTCGATAAGTGACATGCTTTGTAAGGTTGGGCTGTTTGAAGGTTAAGATGTCCTTAAGTCCCTCCCCTCTAAGGAGGTCGGCGTAGTAGCGTCGGTTGCTGCCTTCTTCATTACGAATGTGTAGAGGACCTTTACCGTACACATAAGGACCTAGAAAGTCGGTTTCATCCTTGTAGCGCCCTTGAAGTCGAACGTTGAAGTCCCCAAGAATATAAACTGGTTCAGGTTGGGGGATGTTACTGACAATGTTTTCTAAGTGAGTCCAAAAGGGGGCTTTGCAGGTTTCCTGATTCCGTTTGTTGTGGGGGGCGTAGACTCCAATGAAGTGTTTGTCTCCAGAGCTAGAGCTAAGAACTACTTCCAGGATTCTACTGCCATGTTGTGTGATGCTTTTCAGGAAAGGTAGGGTGCGTGGTGGTAGGACTGCGGTAACTCCCCCGTACTTGTCTTTGTTGTTACCGTTAACTATAAAAAGGTGTCCTGAGGATTTATATTGATGGTATGTGGTGGCGTGTGTTTCGGAAAGGAATAGTAAGTCCAAAGATCTATCCCTAACCAATCCTAAAACAGCTTCATGTTTCAGTAGTTCTGCCATTCCCTGAACATTCTGAGTTCCTACCCTCAGGGGGGTTCCATATGGGAGTGGCGGAGTAGCTTGCGGAGTAGTCTGCGGCTTTCCCTGAAATTTGCCCTTCGACTCTCTCTTGTCCACAAGCGCGCGAAACAATTTAGCCATTTTGTGACCTCTTCGGCGAAAGCTTTGTACTGCTTTCAAGGACGCCCCCCTCCTTACCAACGCGTTGTCCGGCGCCGTTGGCAATATAGTTTCCTTCAAGAGCTTACGCCATTGGCGGTAGTGGCGTCGCCGCTCGCGGCGTACTCTGGTGCCCCTTCCTAAAGAAGGAATGTTGGGAGGGGGGGGGGTGGGGCAAACACTCTTTGTTTGCTGCCGCGGCAGCTCCCGGCGTGCCTCTGGGAGGCGGTGTGGCCTTATCCTTTACAAACGAATTCGATGAATTAAAAGGTCTGCGGGGGTGGCGTGTGCCAGTAAAAGTGCGGAGTGGTCTGTGGGAGAAGAAGTGTTTAACACCGTCCTGTCCCTGAAAAACCCTCCTTCGACCACTTCTGAATTTAGGTCGGGGGCCTAAAGGAATATTGGGCTGTGAGGCTGGGGTCGCTCTAAACTCCAACAGGAATTCCCTTGAAAGCTTGATTTTATCAGGGCTCAAGGGATTCGTGGGCGCGTCTTGCGGAGTAGTCGGGATGAGGTTGTCTAGCAGTAAGGTTGTGGGAGGATCGTGGTTGCCGTTAAGGGAGTGTTGCAGTTTATTACGTAGGCATTGGAGTGCTCTCGGAAGGCCGCCTAGGCAGTTAAGCACCGATAAACTAGTGGAGTATACAATGGCTGCGTCCCCTATGACAATGGGGAGTGTGCTCCTATTTAAGGCAGTGTAGTAGTAAACGGCAAATACAGCAACACAGTAAAGTCTTGCTATATACCAAAGTTGAGGGAATTTAGAGTGGGCGGAGTGTTTGCGTGGTTTTCTCCTATGCTCCTTACGCCTTATAGGTTCCCGGTTCCAACCTATTTGTTGCGGAGTAGCCCTCCAATCGGCGATCGCTCTGAAAAAGAAGGTGCAGCCGCGAGGTCTGTGTCCAGGGATCTTTGGCGTAGTAGCGAAACTAGAACCAAACACTAAACCAAACTTAAAAGCTGAGGGTCTGGGATTAGGGTACCATGCTTCGGATGCCCTGGGAAACTGGGTCGCTCGACCCGAGGCCTGCCTGAGCCGGCGGCGGAGTAGAAAAATTTCAAAGGCTCCGCGCTCTGGCTCAATATAAAATTTCAAAGGGGCGGCCTCGAGGAGCAACTGCCTCCACTGCCTGGCCACCAAAAGGTGGAGCGGAGTAGCCAGGGTGGAGTTCTCGCGAATTCTCGGCGACTCTTTTCAGAGGCCGTCGGAGTTGAAAGAAGCCCCCTCTTGAGGAGTAGCCACAGCAGGTGCCCCTTGGTAAGTAGCCTGCTTGTAGCTGCCTACCTTGGAACTGGTCTCTTTGAACTTGTCGCAGTACTCATCCCATACAAAAGCGACATCCGAGACCTTAGAAATGTACAGATCAATTGGGAAGGGATTGAGCTGGGCGGAGTAGATAAGAGGGGCCGTCCAGTGCCGACCACCCTTCCCAACACTAATGCCCTTGGAGCTGCCTTTGGCTGCTCCCGCGGCATTCTTAAAAAGATCCCTCTCAGCAACGTCCAACTCGTGTTGCGGGCCGAAAACCACCTTGTTCCAGCAGTAAGTCCAGATGCTGGGCTCATCGGTCATGAGCTCAGCTGGCGGAGTAGCATTGAGGATCTCGAAGAGGTCCGTGGTGATCTCGAGTGTGCCCTGGAGCTTGTCGTCGGAGGAGTAGTAGTGGAGCCTTGCCATCGCCTTGATCTGTGGATCGAAAGCCCTGACCTCCTGTGGAGCCATTATGGTCAAGGTTTTCCACAGGATAACGACCTGAGAGGGCTGCCCAGACTGCACATTGAGGGCCTGCAGGATAACCCGAATGGGTATCTCGAGCTTTCGTTGGAATTGTGGTGACGATGGTGTTGCTCGAATGTGGTGGCCCCGAATAGGAGTAGACCCATCCTGGTAGAGGGGTACTCCAGAAGACCCTCCATGGTGCTCCATGAAAGCACGGCGAAGGTCCCAACTCTTGAAATGGATCAAAGTAATATTGCTCCATTTCCCCTCTCCTGCTGGCGGAGTGGACGGGTCTGTGGTAAGGCAGTTCAGCCAAACCTTGTCGGCGGAGTCGTCGTCCAGCTTGTAGCCTCTCGTCTGCAGGAACTGTCGAACTGCCGTGACCTGCTGTAGCAACCAGGTGACCATGTAGAGCCTGTCCTCTGGTGGCATAGTGTTAGACCACCCTGTCAGGATGACGACCAGTGCCGCCTGCTGCCTTTGCGTGGTACGATTTTCCGAGACCATCCAGCTCAGTTCCTTGCTTTGGCGGAGTAGACGGTCGTCGAAAGCCACCAAAGCATGCTCAACCTGGGTGATCATATTGTACAGCTCTGGGCGTAGTACTGCGGTGTGGTAATGGCGAACCGTCTCCAGAACCTGTTGCCGCGTAGTAATAGCCTCTCCCAACCAGCGCTTCACATTGGCCGGGTCGTTGGCCTCCACTCCTGCTGCAAAGGCCGTGGCCTGAATAGAAGCCTCCTGGTCGAGCGGAATGGGCTGAAAAAGCGACTGCCGGCCTTGCGGAGTAGTCGGGGTGTTCTGTGCACCTCCTACTCCCATAGGTCCTCCCGGCGTGCCCATCGACGACATAGAGGGCGTTGGCGGTCCTCTCTTATTGGCGCGCCTCTCCTCAAAAAACAAGGTCTGCGTGGCGGAGTAAACCGGCTGCGCCGTGAGCTCCGCCTGCTCGCTGTATTGGCGCGATGCTAGCGCCAACTGACGCGCCAACCTCTCCTGCTCTGTCCGCCCCGACATTGGCGTGCGGAGTAGCGGGGTAGCCCTTTGGGAGCCCGCTGATCTCTGAAGGGCGGAGTAGCCCCGAAGCAAAAACTGTGAAACTAGAACGTACCATGCCAAGCTTGCGAAGTACATCCTGAAAAACCACCATGCACATGCGAAAGGACTGTAAGCCGAGACGCCTCCGCGCACTGGTTGGTCTATTGCGTTTCTCTCTCTCTCTCTCTCTCTCTCTCTCTCTCTCTCTTTTGCTTGCTTGCTAGGGGTTTGAGTTTGAGGGCGAACCTTCTGGCCCGAAGACATCCCGCTGGCTCGCAACTCCGCGGGTTAATTCCCCACCTGCAGGCGACACCCAGCTGAAACCCACCTGCAAAGCCATGCATCAAGGTCATCCGGGACCCCAGTGAATCCTGTCTTTGCTCCAGTCTCTCGGGCGGGCAGAACAGGAGGTAAAGCAGGCCTAAAAGGACAGAGCGCTCGCCCTCTCTCTCTTGATGAACAGCATTACAACTCGCAAGGATGATGCCTTGCCGATAGCCAGAACGAAGGCACAGACTCCGCAAGCAAAGAGGTCTGCAGGCGCCACGGCGTAGCCTCGCCAAAGCATCTCATCGGCTTGCATGGCAGCTCGCTCGCAGGGCTCGAACTGCACATGCGGAATCGTCCGAAAGCTCAGCGGACTGAGGCCGAAGTGAAAAACACACATGGTATCTGGCTGCTTTTCTGCTTACGCACATGCAGCCACTCTTAAAAGCTAGGCCAGGGCTCGCTCGCATCAGGGCGCTTTGCCGGTAGTCGGCAGTAGGGTAGGGCACGCGACGAGTAGCATGAACGTCAGCAAATGCATTTGCAGTCTGAGCTCCGGCTTCTGCGCTCGTGGTCTGCATTCGGGGCTTTGGGCTTAGGCTTCGTGTGTCGCACTGTCACGATCCCATTGCCTCAAAGTTTCTCCAGGCATTCCCGTGAGCTACATTCAACAACATCTATAAGTATTGCAAACCGCTATGCACCTCTTATCACACCGATAGTATCTCAAGATTGAGGGAACCTCCCACCTCCTCCTTCTCACCAGGTCCGGCTGCTGTTTGATGCGGAATCCCGCGACAGATTCAGGGATTTCATGTACCCGACAGTTGCTTGCCACGAGCATCAACATTGCCCCAGTCCGTGCGACTGCGCCACGCGTTCTGAAAGCAACCTTAAAGATCTTACCCTTTGGGGATCCAAGGCCTCAGCCCTGCCCCCATCTTGCAGCCCGTCGCTCACACCCAATGAATGCGGCGACGCGAGTGTTTTGAGACAGTCAACATGTGTGAACCCACCTGCCCCCTTCTTCAGTAGTCATTGTAACAATCCGGTTGTCCAATACCTCAGGACATAGCTCCATCATCCCGTAAGGCTCGGTCCACATGGAGTCGCCGTGCAAGGCCTGCAGCATCTGCAGCGCACGTCGGTGCAGCAAGCTCACAAGGCTTGGATCTGTTGATTGCTGAGTATCTGGCTGCCCAGGCACTGCATTAAAGGGCAACAGAACTTCGCATCTTGTAGTCTCGTGTGGCACCTTCGTGTGTTTAGCATTCACGCCCACAAGCGACACTGTGCAGATCAATCTTGCAGCTCGCACCACCGCCCGCATTCCAGGTCTACCATCTGCCGGACACACCACCTGCCGCTGACAAAACCGACTCTGCCATGAATGCACTGAAAGCACCTGCCCCAGCCTGCACATGGCTCGCTCGCGGCACATGCATCTCGGGCGAGCGGTACATGCTTTTTCCAGCTTCCACGAAGTACCTGATGCAAACTGATGGCGAGGAAGGGAAAGTGCTGCCACGTGCTCCCAGAGCACCGAAGCACGGTTCCGTCTTGTGCTGCTAGTTGCACAGCCTGAAGAGATGAATCTTTACAGAGCACCCTCCTCCCGCAGTCTCTGCGTCTGTGGCCTGCCCAAAGTCGCTCAGCACACAACTTCCTTTCCTGAGCAGGACCTGCAACGTCGGGCAGGGTGAGCCGCCCGAGTCTCCGACATGCCGCCCTAGGAGCCCCCAGCATTTTCCAGGGAGATGTCGCGATGACCTGGCAAAATGCGCTCAGAAAAAACATGCCAGATCGGCCGGCGGCCGCCCGGCCAACGTTGTGCTGATGAAGGTGACGCACCTGTGGCATGGACACCAGGCTTCGCTGAACTCCCATGGATTCCATCTGAGGGCAAAGCCCCTTGTAAGAGCTCGCTGATGTAACGCCTTTTTTCTATTTCGGCCAAAGGGTCTCCGTAAGCTACTCGCTCGAAGAGATCACCTGGCACTGGCATGTCGTCGCTCCAAAGTCGCTCTGCAGGGTCGAAATCGCGAACTCAAGCATGACCGCATGCACCTTCCTCGCAGTAGCCGGTGACCAGGTAGATGTTAAAAGCATCCTGCCACACGAAGCGTTGGATTCAGGCTACTTCAGGAGAATGAAGGCTGGCAAACATCCTCGAAGGATCCCAGGATGCTGATGATGTATGGGCAGTGCGCACAAGTGCTCAGGAACGTCAGGACCTGCAACCGCTGAAAGTGCGTTCACAGGCAATCTACGGGTACTCCCCCGAGCCGACGACTGCGATTTCGCTCCGGATGTCTTCAAAAGATTGAATGTCAATGTTCTCGTTCTTCAACCTCACTACTTTGGTCTGGGCTCGCAATAGTATTTCAAATACTGTATTTGGAACTGTTCGGGGATCCAACCACACAGACTCTTCACTGTCGACCTGCAAGCTCAGCCGTACAGGCGCCCATCGATCACAAAGACGATGCCTTCTTCTTGTTTGCGATGTTCTTCGACACCACCTGCTACAAGTAGCAAGCAGTACTCACCCAAAGCAACAGCACAACCCCAAATTATCTCCACTTACGACATGGCTAATCTACATTTGATTTGCAACCTCTCTCGACGTGAAGACCCAAGTAGACAACCTGACACAACACGCCCCAATCTCATCTCTAAACTCCGAAGCTCTAAAGTAAAACTACATGCTTTAACAACGCTTTAGCTTGAATCGAGAAATCCGCCTGTCGCACCAGACTGTATGCTCAGGCTATCATTTCGCTAGCGTCGCGCGGTGCTGCTTGGCCATCGACGTTGCTGCTTGGCTCGGCTGATCAGCCATCGGTTAAACTAGCGAGACCATCCAGCTCGCCAGTCGGGGCCCACAGCTGGATTTGCAAGATAGGGTCAATCAACTGCAGAGGGTGGTCTAGGTCGCTTGATTGACAGAATATGAGCAAGGGAGAATTTACTGCTCTCCTTGGACATCCCGGCCTTTGCAACACCGGTAATTCCAGCGCTGCTCTGCGAGAAATGGACCTTCCAGCTGGCCATGAATGTGGGCATACGACCACCTTCCCACACTTCCGCGCCATCCCTCGCCTCGCTGTGGATTGATTTCGCCAAACCTTTCAGTGCGGCACTGCGAGGCTCGTCTTGGCGCGATATGGGCTGGAACCAACAGTCTTTCGCCTCTCTGAACCCTCTCAAACCCACGACCTTCACTCTTTGACGACGGTCTGCAAACACCCTGCGAGTCAGCGCTTCAACGGGGCTTGGGCTTGTTAAGGGCACCTTCGTTCTTCGTCACCATTTCCAAGCTGTCTGTTGCTCACGAGCTCTCGACGCAATGCTGAACAGTGTATCATGCACTTCCGCTGAGCTCTGCACGCGCAATCAAGCTAAACCCACTGGATTGCCAGGGCTTCAATGAAACCTCGCAAACCGTTGCAAACAGCCCGACATTGTCTCGATCAGTATGCAGAGGAGACGGCATTATCAGCATGGCTCCCATAATCAAAGAGGAACGCAGTTTCCTCAAAGTTCGAGACCTCGTGAGGAGGCTGCACCACAGGAATGCACCCGACTGATTCCAGTAAGACTGCGGCTTTGAGCGTCGGAAGCTGAGACTGATCGTCTGCATGCTCAGTCTCTTCTGCTGCACAGGCCTGCGCTGCAGAAATCACTCGTGACACGACTCCTGGAGCTGGTTCGCCTCAGGCCGAGGGCGCCCGTCGTGGTCCTTGCCGGTCTCCGCACCAGCCAGCAGCTTCAAAGCCTCCGTCGCTGACCTTGAACAGAAGGCCAGGCAAGAGTTGTCCAGTGTGACCTGGCCGGGCCTTCGTGTTTTGGCCAAGGAGATGCCATCGGCCAGTGTGAGGGGTGAGGTTGTACAGAAGGCTGCCCATATCAGACAAAGGTCAGGATCATGGCGCCAGGACTCCAGCCTGAGAGGCAAACACAAGCGGCCCCAAAGGTTCAAGAGCATGGACACGTCGCCAGGAAACTTCGCCGCAAGTCCAGCTTGATCCAGACACAGCCCACTGGCGGCACTTGTCGCGTTCGTCTCACATTGACCTCATGCCAAAACCCAGCAAAGGAGAACAACAAAAACGTGGGAGCGATTTGAGCCCCAGCGGCTTTCCAACCGTAGCCGGCCCATGAGAGGCCGGCCCGGCCCGCCCCCCTCCCCGCGGCCCAAACCCAGCCGCCAGCCACTTCGAAGGACTTCAGAGCCGGCGTAAAACGTGTGCCGGAGGAGCACAGAACAACATGTCTTTGGGTTCACGACGGTGTGTGCACAGCATGCAACCACCAAGCCGCTTCTTTCTATTGACGCCGAAACTGTTGTGGCACGTCGAATCCCCTCTCGATGACCTCGGCTACAGAATCGTTGTTGCACCTGCGGAGTGACGGAGCTGCTTGCGGCAGCTGAGGCATGGGCATCGCGCCAATCCTTGGCATCTCTTTGAATTGCCTCCGTCACAGGGTTTAGGGATCGGATGGGACGGGCCTGGGAAGGGCCGAGGCTGGGCTGGGCTGGGATGCACATGCGAATGCATGGGGATGATCATGGATGCATGGTGATGCATGCCTGTATGCATGGATGTATGGATAGATAGTTGGATGGATGCATGGAGACATACACCTCGAGTCCTGGACAGACTGAAACGGACATGAGCTTATTCTTCTCGCGCGGGCACATGGCAACAACAATCAATTGTGATCAGGTTTTCTTGAGCAAGATCTTGCGGTATCTTATCATGGAAACTACTACTACGGATGTCTTTAACACTGGTCTCCTCATCATGTGGTTGCTAAACGCTTATGTGAACTTCATTCAACAAGGCTTGCATTGAACTCCGAGGGTGGGGCCTTGGACTGATGGGCATTAGAACTTTTACAAGCCTTGAACTCCGAGGGTGGAGCCTTTGGCTGATTCGGCTCCGCTGATATCGAAATCAGAACTCTCAAGGGCCTTGGAGTGATGGGGCGCCCCTGATTTTTGAATCAGAACTCTTGTAAATAATGAACTCCGAGGAGAAGGGCTTGGACTGATGGAGCGCCCTGATTGTGAAATCAGAACTCTTATACATCTTGAACTCTGAGGACAAGGCCTTGGACTGATGGAGTGCCCCGGATGTTTAAATCAAAACTCTTACAGATCTTGAACTCCGAGGGTGGGGCCTTGGGCTGATGGAGCTCCCGTGATTTCTTAATCATAACTCTTATAGATGTTGAACTCCGAAAACTGGGCACCCGTGATTTTTTGAATCAGAACGCTTATAGATCTTGAACTCCGAAGGTGGGGCCTTGGACTGCTGGGGCACCCCTGATTGTTGAAACAAAACTTTTACAAGCCTTGAACTCCGAGAGTGGGGCTTGTGGCTGATTGGGCTCCCCTGATATCGAAATCAGAAGACTTACAAAGCTTGAAGGCCGAGGATGGAGCCTTGCACTGATGGCGCGCCACTGTTTTTAAATCAGGACTCTCACAACAGGGATTAAGCCTTGGACTGGTGGGGTCGCCCTGATCTGATGAGGACGCCTACCTTACTTCTGACCGAAGATACAGAGAGAGCCATTTCATGCCTTTCCATACGTGCTCCTCCCCTCAATCAGGAGCACGTATGGAAATGGAGTTGGGGAGTGGGCGCACACCACACACATAATCCGAACTCTTTTGCAACTGGATCTCCCAGGATGGAACCTTGGACTGATTGAGAACCCCTGATTTGAACATCGGATCTCTTGCGGAACCCATGCTCAGTAAACTGTCATGCGACTCATGCATGTGACGCCGCCCTCGCATTCTGCTCGTGGCCGTTATGTCGTGAAAGCGGCTTCGCAGTGCGTCTGCGCCTACCGGACCCGGACCGTAGCCTCGCAATGTGTCTCCTGAAGCCGTCTTCGCTACCCCAATGCATCTTCGCAATGCGTCTGCGCCTATCCAGCCCTATGCGTCTTCGCAATGCGTCTTGTGTCGTCGCAATGCGTCTTCGCCTATCTAATGTCTTCGCAATGCATCTGCGCCACCCAACGCGTTTTGCTCCCAAGGCGTCTTCGGAATGCGTCTGCGCATGCTAATGCGTCTGCGCCTGTTAGGCCTTGTTTTGACGAATGCGTCTTCGCAATGCGGATGCGTCTTCAGGTCGTTTGCCACACTCGGCCAGGACGCCGCAATGTGTAAATTATCAATAGCAAAAGCCTCTATTGTCGGTGCCGGGGTCACATAACCACCAAAAACTGGTGTCATTTAGCCACTCCGAATCCGCACCGTTGTGGGTCACTTAGCAACCAAGTTTCGGGGTCAACTGGCCACCGGATTCAACTTTAGGGTGCTTTAACATTCAAAAGTCTTCGGACTCATCCAATTTTCTTTTGGCACGCCCTTTTATGCAGCGATTCCGGTCTCATCACATATCACAAACGCGCCTCCTCATTCGGCGATTCCAGTTCATACTACATCTTAAGAATGCTCCCTCATTACCAACAACGGTTCATTCACAATTCCGGTTCATCACATATCTAAAACATACCCCCTCATTTCGCGCTTCGGATTCATCATATGTCTTAAACACGCCCCGGATTTGGCGATTCCGGATCATCATGTTTGAAACATGTCCCCTGATTTGGCGATTCCGGTTCATCATATATCTTAAACGCCCCATCATTTGGCGATTCTGGCATCATATTCCTTAAACACGCCCCCTTCTTTGGCGTGTTCATCACACACCGACAACGTGCCCCCTCATTGGCGTTTCCGGTTCATCACATCTCTCGAACACGCCCCCTCCTCTGGCGATTCCCGTTCATGATACATCCTTAAAAACGCCACCTCATCCCGCTCATTTGGCGATATCTTAAACATGCCCCCTCATTTGGCGATTCCGGTTCATCATAGATCTTAAGCACGCCAACTCATTTGGCGAATCCGGTTCATCATATACCTTGAATTAGCTTGAAACACACCCCCTTATTTGGCGAAGTCTTCATATATCTACAACACGCCCGCTCATTGGCGATTCCGGTTCATCAAAAAATCTTAACACTGCCACCTCATGTGGCGATTCCGGTTCATCATATATCTCATTGGCGATGTCGGTTCATCATGTCTTAAACATGCCCCCTCATTTCGCGATTCCGGGTACATCATATATCTTAAACAGTCCCCCGTCACTTGACGATTCCGGTTCTCCATATATCTGCAAGACCCCTCTCATCACATCTGAAAAGCACCCTCCTTCCCTCATAGGCGATTCCGGTCCATCGTGTATCTACAACACATCCCCAACACGATGATCGCATGATGGGCTTCAAAACAGGGAAACTCACGGAGTAAAGCAGCGGGGGGGTTGAGGGGGGCAGCCCCCCCCCATTTGCAAACAGAATGCTCTCATGATAGGATCCCCAAACATTCACATGCTTTCAAGCTAGCTTGCACGGCTTAAAACAAGGGGGGAGTTGGGGCGGGGGGAGGCAGCCCCCCCCCATTTGCAAACACCATGCTCGCATGGTGGGTTTCAAGAAGAACCATACGTTGTTTTAAGCTCCCCCGCCATTTGCCAAAGCAATGCTCGCATGATGGGTTTCGAAGAGACTGCTTTGAAGCAAGCTTGCACGGCTCAAAAACGCGCGGGGGTTTCGGGGGCAGCCCTATCCATTTGCAAACTGTGCTACATTCATTCCTGGCTTGATTTTGTTTTTTTGCTTCCTTCCTTCCTTCCCTCCTTCCTTCCTTCTGCTTCCCTCCTTCCTTCCTTTTCTTCCTTCTGCTTCCTTATTTCCTTGTGTTCTTCCTTCCTTCCTTCTTTCCTTGTGTTTTTGCCAGTTTGTTTTTTCAGTCTTCATATTTTTGAAATCCTAATCAAATATTTTGATCCTAGTTAAATTTGTTTGATCCATTCCTAGTCAGGTGATGATGCAGATTGACCTGGAATTATGGATTTTCCGCATCGGATTCGGATGGAAATAGTAGGCAGAAGCCGAATGGGCCAGTTGGATGTCGACATTTCTCCGTGTGTGTCTGTGTCTGTGTCTGTGTCTGTGTCTGTGTCTGTGTGTGTCTGTGTCTGTGTGTGTGTGTGTGTGTCTGTGTCTGTCTGTCTGTGTCTGTGTCTGTGTCTGTGTCTGTGTCTGTGTCTGTGTCTGTGTCTGTGTCTGTGTCTGTGTCTGTGTCTGTGTCTGTGTGTGTGTGTGTGTGTCTGTGTCTGTCTGTCTGTGTGTGTGTCTGTGAGCGTGTGAGTGTGTGAGTGTGCGAGTGTGTGAGTGTGTGAGTGTGTGTGTGAGTGTGTGAGTGTGTGAGTGTCTGTGTGTCTGTGTGTCTGTGTGTCTGTGTGTCTGTGTGTCTGTGTGTCTGTGTGTCTGTGTGTCTGTGTGTCTGTGTGTCTGTGTCTCTGTGTCTCTGTGTCTCTGTGTCTCTGTGTCTCTGTGTCTCTGTGTCTCAATGTCTCAATGTCTCTGTGTCTCTGTGTCTCTGTGTCTGTGTGTCTGTGTGTCTGTGTGTCTGTGTGTCTGTGTGTCTGTCTGTCTGTGTGTCTGTGTGTCTGTGTGTCTGTGTGTCTCTGTGTCTCTGTGTCTGCGTCCGTGTCCGTGTCCGCGTGCACGTGCGCGTGCGCGGGTATGCGTGCGCGTGCGCGCTACTACTGGACCAGCTGGGTAGCAGCTGATGGGTCCGCCCATTGGTGGAAAAATTGGTTTCCTGCTACGCAAACATGGATTCAGCATCGCCTTGCTGCAGACGCCAGGGGTATGCAAAGCCCCCAAATGTCTCCGACATCGCATTCGTCTGAGACACACGATGATGTTACTGTTTCCAACTCCGTCCGAAAGCGGAAGCGCGGTGTTTCTCCATGAGAGTCGTCTTTGATAATTCGTGCATGTTGCCAATACGTTGGCCAGGTGATAGCATACTTTTCTACATGGAATTTGTTGCCATGCCAATTTTACTACTCCCCACAAGGGGAGTAGTTGTGTGTGTAACCCCCTGAGAGCAAAGGGAGCTATTTCTGATTGAAACAGCAGGGGGGCAGTGAGCCTTCTATCATCCACTGCCCAACGAAGACGGTGATAGAAGTGCTGTGAAGCAATCTGGGATGCCAGACTGTGTACCTGCATTGGAATGGCACTGGGGCCAAGCCACAAACCCCATGTGAGCTGTAAACCTAGCTACTCCCACCATGGAGTTTGCAAGTGTGCGGGTGCGTAGCTGCGCGTGCGTGCGCACGTAGGCATGGGGGTTTGCATTTGCGTGTGGCGTGCGCGTGGGTGCGCGGGTGCGCGTGCGTGCGCGGCACGTGGGCGGTCCCTGATTTTTTGATTTGTGGCTGTGATTGATTTTCTTGCCCTGCTAAATCACTGCTAAATCGAAAACACCATAACAGATTGTGAGGCTTTGATTTTTTGCTCCACAGACCAAGCCGTTCATATCCGTTCATTCTCAAATCACACAAGGCCTGACTGACCAGGAGAGGGCAAGTGGTCTCCACAAAACCACACAAGGCCTGACTGACCAGGAGAGGGCACGTGGTCTCCACATCTTGCAGGCTCTCGGGCACCTTTCCGACACACACAGACGAACTCCTGCGTTTTTTCGCCAAGGCCAAGTCTGCCTCAAACCAATCCTCGTGGGACGTTGTGAGCGGCCTGTCGGAGCAAACTCAGGGGCCCAGCAGCAGGCAAGACCTCTGCAGCCTTAACGCCACTCCCTGTCGATGAAGTCGGCTGCTGTGTCTTCTCAAGCGCCTCTCCACCTCAGAAACAAAAATCGAAGCCATGAGCAGCCACACGTCCATCCTCGTCGGCCTCGTCGCTGCTGAACGAGCGTGGCATCTCGGACCAGAGGCGCTCCTTCAAGACTCACAGAATGCCAGGCAGCAGATGCCCTTTGAGAAGCGACTTGGAAGCGCAAGCGTCGGCCACCACAGCGGCGCGAGGCCATGCGCGGCAGTTCAAGTTGGTGAAGTCAATCAGCTCACTCCAGAGCGCCGTCTCGCCTCTCGACGAAGCCCGGACCGGACCCTGCCAAGGCCATCAAGAGCCCGGCCTCCAAGCAGCCTGGGAAGTTGTTGCGCGCAGATGCGAGAGCGAGACGAAGGTGCGGCAGATGAGGTTTGGACCGGTCACTGGGCCTGGACGAGAGGGGCCCTTCGTCGGCCGTGTGGTTGTAGAAGTCTGTCCACCTGTAGCAAGCACGGCAGCATTCGCACGGCAGCGTTCGCAGGGTCTGAAACGCTGGAATGCTTGCAGGCTGAGGTGCTGGGAGTTCCAGTCGAGGTACCAGCAGCTGCTTTGGAGCGTCGCGAAGCCCTGGGACGTGGCGGCGAAGGCCGCGGCGTGGCCGATCTGCGCTTCCGGCTCCAAAGGCGGCCACCCGGGAAGGTTTTTCCCCACGCTGCCCCAGCACCTCAGAGCGGGAGCCGGTCCGCCGATGCGATCTCCGCGATCTCGTGCTTCGCATATGCGGTGCCGAGCAGCTTCCAGGGCTGCACCACTGCCTGCAGAGCACTCGAAAGACAACTGTGGCACCGGAGCTAGGATCCCCCCGCCTCCTTGGGCAGCCTGAGACCCTGCCAAAAGTACAGCTCGCCAAGACACAGTCACCGTCACCACCTGCACCAGGCCTGGTCAAAGGCATCTTGCCAGACGATTGGACGTTTGCCCAAGCGCTTTACCTGGCTGGGCCACATCCGAGTCTTGAGGCCATTTATGCCGCTTGGGCATCCTCTCGGAACGGACCCAGGGCGAGCTCCGACTCTTCCCGCTGGCTTTGGATATGTAGCCGTCATCACGAATCGCATCGTTGCACGAAAGATCTCACTCATGCAACGAGCTGATTCCTTTTCCAAAAGGCCTGAGGTTGTATTATGTTGCAGCACTGTTCGTTCTTTGAGACGGCAGAATTCTGCTCCACTTCATGCACTCCTGCCTCTTGGAAGACGTGCTCGAAGAAGTGTTGCAGAGCCTGGGAGGCCCCCAATCCTGTCTCATGCCACGGGCGATAAGGCCTGGTGGAAGCTGTGAAATTACTAGCTGCCTTTCTTCCGCATCCAGGCCGCGATGTGCGGCATGGTTGTCCAACATCGAAAATCCACCTCCCATCAGAAACACTGTACATGCAACTTACCAGCTCTTCACGCCGTCACCGCCGTCGCCTCGTCTCCTCCCACATGAAAGAACTCGTCCGGGAACAGGCCAGCCATTTCTTTCAGAATTGAAGACACAACCTCGCACAACAAGTCGTGGGACTAGGCGGGGGCTACGGCAAAAGGATATCGGCTTAGCTACGCCTTCTTGGTCCGCTTTGATGAGATGTCCAATGCCAGCTTGTCCCTGGCTTTGAAACGATTCTTGGCATCGTTTGGGTCGTGCGGCAGGACCTCAAGTTAGCTGGACTCTCTGAGAACACGGGCTGAGAGCACTCTGGCAATCTGAGATGCCTGCGTGCGTGCAGTTCGAAACGGTCTCCTGCCAGATTCATGTACGAACACTGTGCAGTGACGTTTTATCAACAAATGGATTCTTAAATCCCCAAACAGATAGTTTGTACAACCTCCATCGGCTTCAGGCCCGGGCCCCAACCAAACTTTTAACAAGCAAACAACTACGCGCCCCTTCCCTCCACCTAAAAACACCCTCTCCACCCGCACCCCTCCGCCCCACCCTGTCCAAACACACAAGGCGTTCACCTGCAATCAAGAGTTTTGCGGTAGAGGGTTGCACTCTCGTCAAGAGTTGCGGCCAGTTACGGTTTTGGAGTTTGGGGCTGTAGGGTTTGCAGGGCTCAGAGCTTTATTTGCCCACGCTTGCGTTTCCAAGCACACTTAACCCTATAAAGCCCACGGGCTTGGCCGATCAGTGACACATGATGCGTCAAGCCGTAGCTTCCAGGCTTGCGTTTAGGGTTGGGGTGGAGTGGGTCTACGATTGAAACAGTGACTGGCGGGTCTGGCCCCCCTCCACTTGTTTCAAACTTCGTACAGCTGGTACACGTAGGCCTTCATTCCGAGCCCTGGGCTGTGGGACTTGCAGGACTGAGAGATCAGTGGCCGGCGCGAGTGGCGGTGGGAGAGTTTGCTTCCCGACATAACATGTCGTCCGTTTGGGGCATCAAGATTCGCTATTAGCCAGCGCTTGCCATGCCCTTGTTCCAAGAAACATTGCATCTCGAAGCGTCAACAGGCCGTGGCCAACGGGAGACCGTGGCCCTCCCTTGCTTCTTGCTTGGCCTGTTTGTCATCAGAGCTCCGGAGGGGCGGGGCGGATGGGCGGGGCGTTAGAAGCCGAGAGTTTCTGGGTAGGCTGATAGGGAAAGCAGGGAATTCATGTTCCTAGGGACCAAAGTTCAAAGTGTCTCCGGCTCGCCGAAGATCCAGCTGGCAGTGTGAGCGGGCATATCCAGCCTCGGAGCTCAGCAAAAACGCTGCAGGGTGCCGAGGTTTCCTGGCTTTGGGGATCCGGCTCCGGGACGACTCGAATGGACAAGTTCGCAGCCAGGGCAACAATGTGCCTCACATCCACCTCATTCTCGCACAAATCGCTACAAGCATTGCTTGCTGGTCCATGCCGGAATGGGGACATTCTAAGGCGATAGCATGTGAGTAGGTCTTGCTCGCTCCAAAGGAACCCAGCTGCGCAAGCTGTGGCAAGGACTCGAGCTGCAGGGGGAAGCTCATGGCCTTGAACACATCGGCCCAGGAACTTCACCACTTTAGACTGTGCAGGGCTGCGATTACAAGTGAGAATAGAGCATCTGTCACATGCCAGTGGAGCACGTTGAGCTTACTCGCTGCCTCAGGCGAGTGACGCAAGTGCGATCAATCTCTTGTCAGGGCTTTGAGGGAGCTGCCATGCTGAAAAGCAAAGATTCCATCACCTGGTGCAGACCGGACTACACCTGAAATACCAAAGCTCATTTCGATCTGTAGCCTCTGTTGGAGCGAAGTGGCGAGCGGTGTCCAACAGCAGGCCCCTCCAAGGAAATTTTGGGACGTCTTCGATCCAGAGATCGACTGGGATGGCACCATTCGTAGTGAAGCCCGGGGCCCAAGTCCAAGAGCGACCCTCGCTGCCAGAGAGTGCATCCACCACCTGCAACAAGGTCTCGAGGCCGCGTCGAAAGCCGTGGATGGACGCAGCGGAAAGCTTGGAAACGCCAGCAAAGAGGAGCTGGTACTTCTCCATCTGCACATCCAAGCCCGCCAAGCCCGAGCTTCCTTTGCAGGGACAGGGACGAGCTGACGAGCTTGAATCCGAGCTTTTTTGTGCCGTACCGTGGCCTCCGGAGCTGATTTCGACATCGACTCTTCCGACAGCCGATCCGTCGGAGCCGTCGGAGCCGTTCAGCCTGCAGGAGTCGGCTTCGCTCGAATCCTTGGCAGAGACGGCTGCATGCTGAGGAGCTGTGTCAGCTGCGTAGCGCCGTGCCCCCTCTCCCTCTCGGCCCTCTCGTTAAGAATCGGAGGTTCGGCTCGCCGGCTTAAGCTCTCGAGCATGACGACATGAAATCTGCGGAGGTCTGCATTTCTTCTGCTGGCACCCTGTGAAGCCAAAACGAAACAACTCAGGCAGCATGACTGCGCCCGGCGAAGCACTCAACAAAAGACTGAGCCCCACAACTTAGGATGTGTTGAAAGTCGAAACTCATCATTCCCTTCCAACAACAGAACTTCAGTACTTGGACTGACCTTCTGCGACAGTGGCTGTTTCTTCAGCAGCTGTGCACAGCCGCCAGCAAAAGTGCTCCAAGGACCACAGCACAGCCGCTCTGTCTTCAGGAACTCCTGGAGAAACAGAAGGTTGACATGAACGGATACCGCGCAAGAGAAATTCGCACTCCTGTCAAGTTGAATGCCATCGCGCACGGGTCGACACGAAGTGGCTGGAGGCCGCTGAGCTCCGAATCTTCCACGTGGCGTCCCTGCTGTTGTAGGGTGACTGTGCGTGGCATGGGCCACAAGAACTCCCGGATGTCGTTGGCGTTCGCCGTCTCGTCCCTGCCCTCCCGCAAGATCCGCCGCGGCTCTCGCAAATCCCTGCAGATTACCAGACTACCGGGCGGACCGGGCCCGTCTGTCGTCTCGGCCCTCTCGCCATGAAGGCGTTGCACTTGAAGCAGCCACACTTCAAGGAGCAACGCAAGGAGCCGCATCGGCCGCATCACAGGGCGACATGCGCTGGGCACGCTGAACGCCCTTGCCAAGCTACGCCAAGCTATGTCGCACCATGACTGTTGGAGCTTCCAGTGCAGCTCGGGTCAACATGGTTGAGCCCAGCGATTGGAAGGCTGAGCAGATTAGCACGATGTAGATTCGTAGATCGAAGGCGCAAGAGGACGGGACTGAACTTTAACGATCAACGTTTCATGTCGCATGTCCTGGCGAGCTCTCAACGAGGGTGGCGGAAAGACATCATGCATTGCCAGTGATAACAGGTCCGTGGAGATGTTTGAAGTCCCACGTCTTCGAGCAGATGAAGCACAAATGCAGCAGCCCACTTCGCACGTGCATATGCTGCTGTCACACGGCCTTTAGCCCATCGAAGCTCTCTCGTTTCGGAGAACATAATGATGCAGACAATACGTGAAAGCCTTGGCCCGTTTTGAGCCCGATATGTACAGAGCGTGAAGTCGCACGGTGTGGCATTAACCTAAGAGTCACGAAACATCAGCCGGCCGCAAAAGCCTGGATGTCACTGGATAAGTTACGGTAAGGTCAGTCTTCTTAATAAGCAACACGTGACAGCAACACCCGAAGCGGCCACTCAGCTCATGGTCCAAAGCCTGTCATAAAGCAGACAGCCGACATAGCCGACGAGGAAACGCGGAGAGACATCTCACAGGTCGGCCTTGAGGGCTCCCGCCAGTGCGAACTCCGCGTGCAGAGATCTGGCTTAGGAAGTGCTATGGTCTTCGCATCTCCGCGAGTTCCGAAGCCTAGAGCCGCTTGTGGGAGCCACGGGAGGAAGTGTGGGTGCAGAGGAGACGTCTCGACCCTGCCCACAGGTGCGGTCATGGACAGCATCCTTCTTTTGCGAAAAGTCTGCCTCCTTTGGCTTCGGCCTGCATAAAGTATCTCGCGACTCCTTTCGTGAGCCACTCCGAGCATGTGAGCGATACAAACGCATACAAAGACCAGTCGGTTGGCAGACATGGAATCTGTTGAAGAGAGCACACCCCAGGTTTCAACAAGAGAGGTGCTATCTTTAGCGCCCTGATAACCCACCAGAGTTTTCGTTGATGATGAATCTTGGGCATCTGCAATGGACCTTGCAGGGACATCTTGGGAGTGCAATCAGGAGTGGTTCTCATCTCAGGGCTCAGAAGATCCGTCATAGGGACGGAATTGCTAGCAGCCCCAGTGCAAAACGCACGCCTCTCCCTAGCCTCGCGCTGAGCCACGGCAGGGGGATCGCCCGCTTGGCACCGAGCGCAGCGGAGATTCCGCTCGCGGTGCCGGAAGCGTCTGCATCTTCGCAGACGAAAAGGCCTTCGGCCTCTCGAGAAGGACCTCTTGGTCCTGTCCTCGCACCACTCGGCTCCACCACTGGGCTGGGGGATGGGACGTGCCTCGGAGGGAAAGCCAGAAAAGCCACAGACACCTGCATTCCCTGCCTACGATGCTGCATGGAAGCACTCAGCAGAGGTCATGGAAGTACCCCAGGCACCAGCTGCTTCGACTACGGGACGGGGCATCGTTCGGGATGTCCAAGGTGCTGCGAATGCAGCACGGAGACTGGAACAGAAGCTGGCCAAGACGCAGAAAGAGATGCTCCAAAAAGGACAGGCTTGGGACTCTTGGGTCCTCTCGATGCGGAGCTCATACCAAAAGGAATTCGAGCGCCACAAGTCCGAGCAGCGCCGACTCTCCCTCGAGATCAAGGACTTGGAAGAGCAGACCCAGACCGCTTACTCCCATGTGCAACAATGTGTCCCGTCTGCTGCTGCACCTCCGCCTTTGGAGTGGGAACTGCAGGGCACAGAAGATGTTCTACCGGAACTGACGGAGGATCAGACTCGAGCCGAGCTGCAACGGATCTTGGCCAAGACTCCCCATGGGATGACTACCCTTGTGCGAAATGCAACGACAGCGCCCAGGACACCTCCTGGCGACACTGTTCCTTCTGCAATGGAGATTTCGCCTCCAGCGCATGCACCGAGAGATCCATATTTTGCGGCCATGCCACCGGCACCAGCCCCCTCGACTGCCCCTTCGCGGACGTCTGGACTTGTGGATCCGAGACAACCACCCTTGCAGGACAAGCAGGGGTCCCAATCTGCACTTGCGGAGAGACTTTCGGAGAAACGCAGAGCTTACCGCTCCGCCATGGCACCCTTTGGATACATCAGGGCGACGGATGCAGATGGTTCTTCGGTTGCTGGTACACATGGCGGTGTGAGGGAGCGGAAAGGCCGCGATACGGGCCAGTGCCTAGTGGAGGACGATCCAGACGAGCTACATGCTGTGCCTTCACCGGGCTTCGGTGCAATGGAGTGAGATGCTTAGAGCAGAATTCCCAGCTGAACAGTCAGGCTTCCACGAAGGATGACAGACTACCAGGACCACTCACAGGTGAGGCTTCTTGGGAGAAGCCTCTCCTGTGTCCGATCCCTGTTGGCCAATGTCTCTTTTGTTAGTTGTGGGATTCGCAGGTCTCACCGGTCTCATTGGAGACTGTATTTTCCATTTACGGAGTCGGAGACTCTGTATATTCCCAGGTGGCGATCTTGGGATCATCCTCCTGTCATGCCTTGCCTTCACCCGACCTTTCAGTCGGCTTGGAATTGGCTGCACTATAAGAGGGCCTTCTTGAGATCCTTTGATTTGTCTCTGCCCTCTCCCTCTCTTTCAACTGCCTGTCCAAATGCGCCAAAAACGCGTATCGGTGGCTCTGGGTCGCGTGCTACGGACAGGCAGTTTCTCTTTTCCACTTCACCTGCGGCGCAAGCTCTTCCTTTTGCCGAGCCTTTGGGTTCTGTTGAGCGTCTCTGGTTTCTTTGGGCCCCGCCCTTTCCTCCTTGGGGTTTAGGCCCCTGTTGCCCTATGGTTCTATTTAGGCCATTCTGCATTCAGCTGCTTGAGACAAGCGTGACCTGGTCTGGGGACCAGTTAGATCTCTGGCGCGCATTTGGCCCAGCAATTCCTTGGCTTTCTGTGGCATTTGAAGCGTTCTTTCGCACCTTGTGCGGTATTCTGCTTGTGGCCCTGCTTGCCTCATGCCATCATGTCCTGACTGGTAGGTGCATTCAGCGCAAAGCACCGATTTACCGTCGCCCTTCACACTTTGTCCTGCTAGTTAAGCCGGTTGGCAAGATAGGTTTTTCTTCGGGACTTTTGGATTGGACCCCACATCCGTGCAGCAAGCAAAGAAGTGCTTCAAGGAAGACAAGGTCTTGCACCTTTGGGCTTAGGTCACGGCGAGCATTATCCTTCCTGATGTGGCTGATGCTTGGTTGCCTGCCTGTGCAGGTCTGGGCTGCTCCTCCTGACATCCACTCACTTGTTGATGCCTGTACTGACATCACACTTGGATTCCCGGAACAATTCCCCTCTCCATCCGTGGGCTCTACCAACTGGCCTTTTCCGGACAGTGCGGCTAGCCGAACCGACGCTCGCCCCTCTTCAACAGCTTTTGGGAACCATGGTCCTCGCATGATACATTGCTTGCTCATGGCGCCGGACTTTGTATCTGAGCAGATTGCTCTGTCGGTGGAAGCTCCGATTCACACCGACAAGTTGATACATCAGGTTGCAGCCGCATCCCGCCTCCTTTCCCGCTTGTCTACTGCACACCTTGTTCCGGTTAGGCCACAGCCGGAAGAGGGTTATGCGACCTTTCTCATTTGCCCGAATTGGACCCAAAATGCCAGAAAGGTCACTGTGCTAATGGACTTTTGGGATTTAGGTGGGCCAACCTATGCTCGCCAGGTCGAACCGCAGGTTTCCTTCAATGACCTCATGGATGAAGCCAGGCGGCACGGACACGATCGGTTTGAAGCCTACTTACAGCTTCAGGCTAACAGTGTGACAACAGTAAGCGATGGAGCATGTTTCTCGTTCCTCCGTCCAGGCATGCTTCCGCATTGGTGTCCAGAAATCGACCGCTTTCTTCTTCAGCCGGATGACTGGGTAGATAGTCCTAGGTGTATGAGGCTTGAGCTTGATTCCGATCACTGGCTTTTCATCAGGGGGGACTTCACCAAGCTTCTTGCATACACTGTTGATTCAGAATATAGCCTCCACGAGGTTATTGCTACCCAGATGCACCGCCGCTCCACACAAGTCAAGGTTCGCACGCCCGTCTCTGAAGCAGGTCTTGCAGTTGTGTTCGATGGATATCATGTTTCTAAGATCATTGCTGCAGCGCCGTGCCCGGAGCCAGTCTCCGACAGCATGCCAGACAAGGCTTTCGTGTTCCTTGATGCGAGACAAATGGGGCAAGGAATCCGATTTATCCTAGTGGATACACCTCTGCTCTCGCTTCAAGAGGCAGCAGAGTCCTTAACTCCACGTGTGACGCCGGGCTTCAGGGTTTTTGCCGAGCACCCTCGGCTGCAACCGGAAGGCCTTCATGTCCATAATGGGGATGTTTTGGCTATTGGCCTCGAGGCCGACCCGAATGCTCTTTTGGGCACAGCGTCTGCGGGTTCAGGACCGGCCTCTCCCCTTGCGCCAATACTCAGCAGCACTTTCGATGAACTGTCATGTGCAGCTGGCCCCGCGGCTGTTGCTAGACTATTTCCTGAGCGCCCCAGTGCTGAGGCAGATTCGCGCGTTGTGGGATTTGTTGTACTTGCACCAGCCCATACTCCGGAAAACGTCGAGGTGGAACTGCAACTGCCATGTTCGGTTCATGCTGCCGGCCAAGCCCTCGCTCACGCTCGTGACGAGCGCCTTTCCCTACTGTTTGAGTATCTGGTTCCTGCTAAGCCCCAGCCAGATTTGGGATTCGTAGTTGTGCTTGCGGCGCCTCTTTGGGCGGAAACGAGTGTTTTCGTTCTAGTCGACTCGCGCTTGATCGACTCCCGCCTATTTCACTTTGTCTCAGGTGACAGACTCACCAGGGTTGACTTCCTGCGACAGATAGGCCTCATGGAGAGACCCGGCCTTCGCATACACATCCGCGGCTATCATGTTCCAGAAGCCGACACCC